CCTCCCGTCTGCTGTTTGTATGGTACTACTCTCTTGCTAGCTGTCGCCTACTGCAGCCAAGGCCCTCGCCTTAGCTAGAGCTGCTAGGAGAGAAAGAGGCGCCGACGTATGCACAGACGGTAGGGGTCAGCGTGCATGGCTCAACATGCAGTGATGATGTTATGTAGGGATCACTGCAGCCGAGGAGAGCCCTGTGGAGAACTCTCTCCTGAAGTGTGCTAAGGACTTCGGTTGCGAACGGATTGTGAGGTAAGTGTGAACATTTCGGATCGCCGACATTTCGCCCTGCAGTCATGATCCAGCTGAAGTTGCAGCCTCCAAGGAAATACCATCGGACGACGCGGTTGTGCAGGTGAGCCTCCTCCTCGAGCGTTGCGGGCATTGCATTCTTGCCTGCCCCTTCCTAGGATACGTCCCTACTCAACAGCATGCCTTCTCTTGAGAAGGCTAAGGTGTCTATACAGTCCATCCTCCCCACCTGCCTCCGCGACCATTGCTCGGCCGAGCTCTCAGCTTGTGACACCAGTGAGCTATGCTTCGAAGGCTTATGCGGAGTGATAACTTGTTCCGTGTCAGATCCCGAATGCAACTCGGTATTCTCCTGCCTCGAGATCAATTCGGCTCGCCACGATAGGGCCGATGCCAAGAAGTGTACTGATAAGCTCATGGGACTCGATGAGATCAAGAGGAACTTGATCGCCTGCGCTGAGACTGCCCACTGCTTAGAGGTATTCACCTTCCGCTCAGCCCCTTCATAATGGCGCTTCTTACAGGGGAAAATATCTCCCTCGTTGAACGTTGAGGACGATATTGACTCCGTCCCTGGCAAGCCGAGCTCCCTGCTACAGCTCTCGGGAGGGGATGTTGACGATGTTAAGCAGCAGCCCATGAATGAGGAGGTTGAGAAACAGAAGGAGGATGGCAAGTAAGCCCTCTCTGCCTCAGAGGCCTTGAGTGCAGTGGTGATACCTTCTCCTACAGGAAGCTTGAGGTGGCCGAGGCGGATCCCGCGGATGATCCGAGTAGGAGGGATGCTGGAGTCTGGGATAGACTACTACTACTACACTTGTGCATACTGGTGATGGGGGTCTTGTCTCAGGCACAGCCAACGGCACTACTATAGCGGTGGCCTCCTCTAGTAGCTTTGTGGAGGGCGCTATACCCGACTTCCTCCAGCCTCTGAAGGATGTCGCACGGAATGCTCAGAGGTTTGCTGAGGATATGAAGAAGAAGGAGGAGGACCTTGATGCAGTTGCCAACGGAAGGGGTATGCCGACGGCTCATCGATCTCTACTACCATGGACAAGCCCGGGTCTGCCAGGTGCCTCTCCTGGGCTCTCCCTTATACAGGAGGAGATGAATGCTAATGGCGAACGAACGGATAAGAAGAACATCGTTAAGACCCCAGATGCTGTACGGCATCATCAGCACCGCTTCTTGTGTTGGCATGAACGAAGGCCTCAGTTGAACAATTCCCGAGACGATTCTCGCAAGCAAGCCCTTGGAGAAGGACTGTCTCTGCTTGAGGGGGCCTCGAGGAGCGGCGACTGGGAAGCAGAGTATGGGCCTTGGTGCTCTTGTTGAGCCGTGATGCGGTCTTCCTCAGCCTCGATAGGCAAGTGCGCCAGTGGAGGAGCTTCCTTGCCAGCGACTCTCGTAGAGGGAGGCAGTCGAAGGCCAACGATGATGATGACGATGATGATTCCTCCTCCTCCTTCCTTCAGATTGCTGATAAGGCCGATGCACAGGGCGATTGGGTGACCAAGTAGGGTCACTCTGGGTCGCCTTTCTGGTCATCATTGTGTTAGGATCGAGAAGTATATGAGAGAGGACCGTCAGCGTGTGCTGGCCGCCGCCCGAGACCCCAAGCCGAAGTCTTCGTCCAGCCGACCTGACTATGATGACGACGAGGGTGGTGGAGTGGCTTCCTTCCTAGAGAGCTCCATGGTAGTCTTTGAGGGCGCCCTATGGCATGGTATGTATGATGTGGGCGCTCAGAGTGCCGCGGATGTTCGCTCGGCAATTCGGAAGGAGGCGGAGAAAGCTCGGGACATCATCAAGGCTCTACAGCAAGTG